AGGTATGAGGCAAGATGTGGAAGAATGGTGCAGGACCAGCAGTACATGTTGTGCTGATATATGGACCCAAGCATAAGGGACGTGCTCCAATGAAGTTATATCAAGTTGGTGCACCAATGGAAAGAGTAGCTATTGACATTGCTGGTATGTTGCCCCAAACTCGTGCTGGAAACAAGTACATTTGCGTGGTGATGGATTATTTCACCAAGTGGCCTGAGGCATATGCAATACAAAATCAGGAAGCTACAACTGTAGCTTCGGATATTAGTGATTTCTTCTTCAGATTTGGTATGCCACACGAACTGCATTCAGATCAAGGCCGTAACTTTTAATCAGCTGTGTTCCATGAATGCTGCAAGTTGTTTGACATACGAAAGACAAGGACAAAGCCACTTTATCCACAGTCTGGTGGGATGGTAAAAAGTACAATTGGACACTTGGACAGGAATTGGCAAAGTTTTGTAATAGCCGCCAAGATGACTGGGATGTCTTACTCCCTCAACTGTTGATGGCCTATAGAACAGCAGAGCATGAATCCACTGGATACACTCCAGCAAAGCTGATGTTTGGTCAGGAACTTCGATTGCCAGTGGACCTGATAACAGGACGCTCACCTTACGAAGAGTTGCCTGAAAATGTGTCAGAGTTCGTGAACGTGTTATCTGAAAGGATGGATGATATTCACCATCAAGTGCATTCAAACTTGAAAACTTCTGCTGATTCCATAAAGCTATATTATGATAAGAGATCTACTGAAGTCAGCTTTGTACCAGGAAACAAGGTGTCGTTGTATAATTCCAGGAAGACCAAAGGGAAGTCTAAGTTGTCTTCTCCATGGGAAGGCCCATATGACATAATGGATCGTCTCTCAGACGTGACTTTTCGAATAAAATGTGGTCGGCGAGGTAAGCCAAAGGCGGTGTATGCCAACAGGCTTTGGCATTATCACGGTCCAGGACATTTCAGTTGGAATGAAGTAAACAATGGAAGAAATGACGCTGCTGAAGACGTGTTACCTGAAAAAGCCACTATCGAAAAAGAAACTTTACCCGGTTTTAAGAAGGAAAACAGTGAAGCCGTGAATGAAGCTACTACCACTGATGTGACTGTTACCGATAATGGGACATTTCCTGATGAAGCAGATGAACCCCACTTGAAGCAGAAGCCAATGAGACAGAGACCAGTACGGAAGAAGATACATTCTGTAAAATTAAGAGACTTTGTTGCATTTTAATTTTGTGTTTGTAAATTCTGTACATTTAATTAAGTTATTGTTAATTGGTTTAATGTAAGTGGCTATTGTTCGGGACGAACGATACTAAGGAAGGGGCAGTGTTATTACAGCGGAAGTCACGTGACGCTGGAAGCATGCGCGCTGGAGTTTCTCGAATGATCATGAATTTGCCCGGCAGCTCGAGGGTGATCTAGATGCCCTCTTTTTTAGTATATAAGCCTGGCAAAGAAAGCCAGCTGCAGAAATAATTGAGTCAAGTGAATAGTAGTCACGGTAAGTCGATTCTGTTTCTGTAGTCGCATAGAGGGAAGTTATCGAGCTTGTGAATCGCTGTGATTTATAGCGTGTGTTATAAAAGTTATTTAGTTTAGAGTGACGAGGTATGTACTGACTGTGAAATTACTGTGTATTAAAAGTTGTATCGAGGAAGAATAATCTGGGTTAATCAAGAAAGGACTTGTATCGCTGAAATTTCTCGGATAGAATTCTACGGGAAATTAACAAACGGAGCAGATACGTAACAGCAGCTAATAAAGAATTAGTAAAACATGATCACAGTTTAGAAAAAAGACACTTCCATGAAATACACCCTATATCAAGGTTAATCATTTTTACTGTATGAAGAGGGGAGGGTGGATGTGGTGAAAAAGACGTCTAAGAAATTTGTATTACTAGTCATCTAATTAGGTGTTGGTGAATTTAACGTCATACCAAAGACCCCCAACAGTTTAATCTAAAACAAGATCTCTCCATACTGTATGTTTCGACAGAACATTGGCCTGACTTCTATCTGAAGAAGACAGATCAATATTCTGTCAAACCATGTAATATGTTTTCCCAAAATTAAAACGCTTTATTAAACTTATAAATCGTTGTTTGCCAACATATTTTTATATTAGCATAACATATTCCTTTACTTAAGTATTCACGTAACTAAAATAAATACCTAACAAGCAGAGTTGTACTCTCAAATCATGCCTTGTGTTAGTTTGCCTGACTTCTTTAGGAATATTTCTAACTCTTTATTTTTCTTTGCATGTTTTAAGCTCCCTGTTTATAATTTATTGTTAGTTCGAGAAAGCTAAAGTTTCTATTCTTATTCACTGAATTTATTATTTGCTACCCTTTACTTTTTCATTAGAAATTGTAGTTAAAGAAAGACAGCCAGGGGACAACTAGAACATGAAATCATGAATCGTTGTTTTTCACTGATCCAATTTATATTTGGGGGAGAGGGATTTAATTTAGTGGATAATAATAAAATCAAAGTGTTTTACGTCAGAAATTGGTATAAAACGGTCTTAAAATGGTGTTTTTAATAGTTCATTCCTAAAACTTTAATGTAAAATTTGTTTAAATATTTTACATACCTACAAATCTTTGTAATTGAAAGATAAAAAAATCTTAAAAAGTTATCATAAAGTATTACTAATAAATGACTGATACAATAATATTGTTATGTTAATGAATGCGTTACTATAAAATTTGCATAAATTTAGGTAAGATCATGAAATATAGCACCTGAGTTTTGCATTTATGTAAAATATAAGTTATGAGAGTTTAAAGTATTGTTATTGTCATAAATAAACATGACCTATTACTCCACAAAATATAACTTTATTTTTTACTTAAGCTAGCATTTCGCCATTACGGCTTCATGCCATGTTTTTGGAATAATAGATCGTGAGTTATTCATCATTTTAAGAAAATATAAGTTGATCTTACGTTAAAAAATTAAGCTTTTAACGAAATTGGTCGTACTTACATACTAGTTTACTAATTAACTAATTTTAAGATACTGAAAAGTTAATTTTTACTACACTAGAGGTGGCGCTGTACGTAGGGGAAGAGCAGACAGAGCGTTTTGTTTTCGAAAATAAGTGAAAGAAGCAACTGAAGAAAATTATATCATTATTAGTAAATATACCTAGAATATTATAAAATGGTGACTGTAATTCAGCCTTATATGGTAAGAAATTGTTTGTGCATTTTTTTTTCAGAAAGCATTGCAAAACATGATGAGTTAACAATAAATTTGCAGTGACGTTGGATAGGCTCCTAACTTAAAGTTAAGATTAAGAATTAGAAAGTGTTAAGGTACAACTTACAGCAAACTAACAAATTCAAAACAGAATGTACGGCTTCTGAATATTTTAAATTTTATGTTAACTTGTATCAAATTATATATTTTATGGAGCTTTAGGGACGCGAAGTTGTATACTGTTTTTTCCATCAAAATAATTTATATTTTAAATTTTAAAGTGGTTTTGATATGTTAGCGCCAGTAGCGTCGTGTCTCAAATTGTGGCCTCTTTACGAATGGGTGGAACGAACTACAAAATTTTATAGATTGAAATGTAAAAGAAAAGTTTTATCAAATGAAAGATAAAAAAGTTATGAAAAAAGTATATTCACAACTTCCAAGCTTTTAGTTTTAATTTTACATAAACAGAATTACAGCATACTGTTTGATCTAACATTTAACACTGCAACATGTTACTATTAGACTGGGTGAAACTTCATATCCTAATAATTAAAAGTTGTTTTTTTTTAGCTTTATTGTTTCTTTAAACCTAACCAATAAAATATTTGGGAGATTGGTTTAGGTTATGTAACAGGCTGTTTTGTAAAGTGTGAGTGTAATATATTACAGTTTATTGACTGAAGACTGGTAAACTACATAATCATATAATCTTTAAACATTTGTTGGATGTTGTATAACAGGCCACTTCATAAATAGTAATATTATAGCTCACTGAAATATATAATCACTATAAATATGTTTCTTAAGTATTTGTTGGATGACTATATGGATGTGCAGGCAGTGGTGTAACTACAAAAAAGTAATTGGGTTCCACTACACTTATTCCCTTTGTCAGCAAGTCTTAAGTTTGTCAAGCTCTTCAGGTCCCTTTTTGGCTCCCAGCATACTTACACCACTGTGTGCAGGTATGCATTTCATTTTGAGTTTTGGTTGGTATTTGTGTGTGGATAGCTGACCTTAATGAATCAAATGACCTTCTGTCACTTTGTTGTTTAATAGGCTATTTTATTATATGTTATAGCTTTCTAATTGAATATTATATTTATTTATGTCATTGTATCATTGGTTACTTGTCAATCTTGGTCGGCTTATGTGTATTGGACATCCATTGAAGACTGAAAAGCTCTTTTCACAACTTAATTACATTGTATTAATATTCATAATTATATATATTTAATAGTATGAAAGCCTTCAAGTAATAATCTTTAGGACTTTAATGTGAAAAGCAACAATTATTTTTGGTTTACATGTTTTCGTTGTTTTATTTGATGGATGCTCTTTATGTGTTTATTGTTTCAGAGTATATAATAAAGTGAAAATATGTCTTACTGGTTAACAGTATAAGTGACCTCAAATTTATTAAGAATATATAAACAAATAAGTTAGTGTAAATCAATTAATCCCAGTCTAGGTCCCCAAGTTTTAAGGTATAACATAAAAGCAATTTTTCATACACAAGACAACATCTAGACTGCATACTAGTAAAGTGGCATTCAATTATTTTCCACAGATGAAAAATTAATCTGTTACTTAATTCCCACTACTGAGTATATAGAGTATTCTACAGGTATTGATCATATGCATGAAGATAGGATTAATAAATAACAGTTTGTTTTATATATATAGACTAAATATCTGCTTGCAAGCAGGGGGGGGGTGTCTAAAATATTTACACATACTTGAAATTAGGAACCATACAATTAAAAATAATTAGGTATAACATCTAGCTTTCACTTGCCTAACAGAACCATCATATTTAACCATCAAATTAAAGACCCTTTTTTTTTGTTTAATGTTGTTCACTACGATCAGGGTCCACATACTGCATATTTTTGAGTAATTTTATGTTACCTGTTTCAAAACTCAGTGAAAAGAATTGATAGAAACATTTGGTAAAATCAGTCATTTATTATGTAAAATACATGGATGATCCCAACAGTAATTAGGATAAATTGTAATATTGGTGGTATTTTTGTTTAAAATTGGTGGATAAATAGTTTGGAAATATATTTTAATGTTCAGTTACATTTATATTACTTTTAATTGTCTGCCTTCTTGTATATCATTTGGTAATCCTAAGATGAACTTTCTTGTAGTTAAAGTCTTATTAAAATTGCAGAGGGAATTACCTAAAGATGCGAACCATGGTTTACTTTAGTGTCAAATGCTGCATTGTGATGATCTACATTAGTTGAGTTTAATATGTAATTTCTACTATGACCGACAGGTCAAGAATTTGGAGTATTTTATTGTAATATTGATTACAGAATAGGGCTTGCCATATTTAGAAATTAATCACAAGTGATATAATCACATTATGTAACAAATTTTGTTTATATCCATTCATTGCCATTTAATAGTTTCATTTCAGATTCTAACAGTAGTTACTGTTGGCATTAAATCAAATAAACCATAGTAATGTATTTTAATGTTCAATTATATTATTTTTCTGACATTCTTGTAGACCTTTCTGTCCATAAAGCAATGAATTTTAGCTGTAATTAAACTTTTACTCATATACAGAGGGCAGGGCCAGACTTAGACCCTTTGAGGCCCCCATGCAATATTACAATATTGGAGGCCTTCTTCCCAGGGTGATTTAAAATTAAGGCTCCCTTGGGGCTTGGGGTAGCTTGGGTTGCACCCCTCTCTAAATCTGGCACTGACATAGAGTAGAGTACAATATATTAAAATGATTTTGGAGTCTGACCATGGTGTCATGTGTAGTCATGCTCTATTTGATAATCGTTAACTCAACTGATCGCTAAGAATCAATTGACATCAAGTAAAATGACTGACTAATCGAAATTACAATTAAATCAATTAATGTCATGAAAATAATCAACTAATCAAAATTAGTATACCTGATTATTACTGCTTTTGAATATGCTATCTAACTCTTATCCAAATAATACCACCATGACTTCTCATTATTACTTGGGAGTAATTCAAGGCTGTTCAGCTTAATAAACTAGTGTCATGATTCGCATAAATAATCAACTAACCAAGTTAGTGTTTTTGATTATTCCAACTATCCCAGAATCATGTTACAATAATCAAATAGTTGATTATAATTGATTAATGGGCAGAACTATTGTCAAGATTCTTTACTCAGCTCTAGTCCTGTTGCTTCAAGCTGATCCGTATTCCTCTCTTTTTCCAATGCTATTAAGTCCAAAGGATAACACTATCTAGAAAATTCTGAATCCCCAATACAAACACATCTTTACAATCTGAGTGTATAGACATTTTGTGTTGGAAAAGGCTGTTCCATATATGCCCCTTCCAATCTCAATCAATTTTTGGTGTCATCATATTACCTATGAAATGTCAAACAATATTGAATTGTAGTTCTGATACATTATGTTCAACAGTGACTTTATATCTGATAAAGAGCCACATAAAAGACTTGTAAAAAATTATTTCTGTAGGTGTGGGGGATAAGTTAGTTAATTGGATAGAAGAGTGGCTGGATGGAAGAAAGCAGAGGGTTGTTATAAATGGAGTTCAGTCAAACTGTATTAATGTCACAAGTGGGGTACCTCAAGGTTCAGTCTTAGGATTTTACTCTTTTTGTTTTACATAGGGACATAGATGAAGGAATTGTGAATAAATTACTTAAACTTGCTGATGATATTAAGGTCTTGGGTGTTACTAGCTGTGAAAAGGATGCTGCTGCTTTTCAAAAGAATTTAGATCATTTAATGAGTTGGGCAAATAAATGGCAGATGGATTTTAATTATAATAAATGCAAAAGAATGCAGGTGTGTTATCATAATTTGAATTATAAGTATACTTTGGATGGGAATAACCTTAACAGTGTCATGAAGGAAAGGAACCTTGGTGTAATGGATGATCAGTCTTTTAAACCATCCATACTGTATTCAGTCTTGGGCTCCTTACCTTAGGAATTGAATTGTTGGAAAGGATTCAGAGGAAGGTTACTAGAATGATGCCTTGGATGAAGAGAGAGAGATTGAAATTTTTGAAACTGTTTTCTTTTGAAAAAAGAAGAGTTAGAGTGGAACTGATTGAGTTATTTAAGATTGTAAAGGAAGTTGATAGTGTTGATGCATCATTTTTTTTTCATACTTAATGGCAGTATTGAATACAAGTCTAAAAAGGTTATAATTCCATTGTATAGGTCACTGGTTAGGCCACATTTGGAGTATTGTATTCAGTCTTGTGCTCCTTACCTTAGTAAGGACATTGAATTGTTGGAAAGGGTTCAGAGGAGAGTTACTAGAATAAGATGGCGGGTTTGTCATACAAAGAGAGGCTGAAATCTCTCAAACTGTTTTCTTTTGAAAAAAGAAGAGTTAGAGGGGATCTGATTTAGGTTTTTAAGATTATAAAGAGAATTGATAGTGTTGACGCATCATCTTTTTTCATATCTAACAGTGAGAATAGCAGGACTAGGGGACAGAAATATAAATGTTGGCAAGGTAGGAGTCATCTTCAGCTAAGACAGTTTTATTTTTCTAACAGTGTGATTTGCCTCTGGTATAGGTTGCCTTCAGATGTTGTGGATGCAGTAAATTTAAATGAGTTTAAGAGAAAGCTTGATAACTATATGAATAATAAAGGCTGGCTTTAGGATTTTCTACAAATTTATTTATTTAATAGCTTTAGTTTAGAGGATGGGACTGCCAAGAGGGACCAATAGGTCCCTTGTTGTCTCTAAACATTGTTATGTGTTAGTCACATGACTTGTTGATTTATATATTCAAATTTATTTTAGTAAATGTAATGTAATGGATGTTCTTGGATATAAATATTGTAACACAATGTTGTATTTTCTGCCATTATTTTATTAATTTATATATACCATAAAATGCTTGAAAAATGGTTTGGCAATTAAGTATGATCCAGAACTAGCAAAAAGGGAAAATCTATAAGATAAGAAAACAAAAATGTAATATTAT